TGGCCTCGGCACTGTCGTCCTGCTTGCCCTGGTGCAGGAGGACGTAGACGTACTGGGAGAGCCGCACGGTGCGCCGGCCCCGCTCCGCCAGCTCCAGCTCCAGCAGGTAGCGGTTCCCCCGCGCCGTGTCCCGGCGCTTCTCCACGTTGATGATCCTCAGGAGGGTGTAGATGCTACAGGGAAAGGAGAAGCACTTCAAAGCTCCACCACCACAAGCTCTGCTCCCCACAGCTCCCCTTCCTCCGGAGGTTGGCCTGAACCCACCACCCAGCTCCCCAGGTGGGGCAAAGGCACTTCCCCAAGCCTCCCCCTCCCTCCCTACCCTCCGTTCTTCTCGTTGAGCTTCTCCATGTACTGTGCCACCACGTCCACCACCTCGCCCTCGCTCAGCTGCAGGTTGCCCGACACGTTGCAGCGCAGGTCGTTCCAGTCGGAGCGCAGGAGCTCGAAGTCCACCGAGCTGACGCTGAACGTCCTCTGCCAGTTGATGGAGTCCTCGAGCCAGCTCTGCTGCAGCTCCCCGGCCTCGTAGCTGTAGTCCGACACCTCTTCCTCCTCCTCCTCCTCTTCCTCCTGGCCCTTTCCCTCCTCCTGTTGGGACGTCGTCGTTTCTGACATCTTCAGAAAGGATGTCACCCGTGTCGCCTCGGAGGAGCTGTAATTGGTGGTGGCCACTGTCCTGCCCGGGGCACGAGTCGTGTCCTCATGGGTGTCCCTGAGGAACAGCCCTTCGGTCCCCAGGGCCAGGAGGCCGGGCAGTGCCCGCCGCTCAGTTCCCAGCTGGGACGGCCCTTCCCACCTCCTGCCACCCGCACGGGTACCCTTGTGCCGGGCAGGGCTCCTCTCCTTGGAGATGTTGCTCAAGAGCCAGGGGGTCCGGCGGCCAGGGATGGCATGGAGCTTGCTGGAGGAGGGGGGATGTTTCTGGGGGGTCCTGGAGCGAAGGTGGACTCTCTTGAGTGGCTTTGGGTACAGGAAGATGCCAGGGAAGACCGGCTCCTGGGCCGGGGCTTTGCGTTTACCCGGCTGCAGCCTGGTCACGTAGACCTTCTCCTGGGCTTTGGGGGGCTTTTTGTCCTCCTTAGGCATGGCAGGCTTGCTGGCACCCGGCGTTTTGGCTTTGTCACCAAAGACGGGGACAGAGAGGCGGGGTTGAAGGCTCAGAGCCCCAGCACGCTTTGTAGATGCCAGCAGCCCCAGTTCATCCTCCTCACCCTCTCTGGGACCCTGGGGTAACCAACTGAGCACCCGCCCACGGACCCGCTCCACAGCAGGAGACCCCGCGGGTCCCTGGGGATGGCTCCTGGGCTGGTGCTGGCCTGGAGGGACGTGCCCCATCTGCCCAGCTGCCCAGGCGTGCTGGACTCAGCCCCTACCCGGCCCTGCCTGCGGCCAAAGCTGTAGTAGTCCAGGTCATCTCCATAACCCCCGGTGACCGGCCGGGTCCCTTTCCCTTTGGCTCCAGGTACTGGCCCAAAGCTCTTCTCCTTGGCTGCGGGAGGTGGGTCTGTGGGCTCAGGGCTGTCCACTCCTTCCTCCTCCTCATCCTCATCCTCTAGGAAATCTAGGGAGTAAAGCCAGAGGTAAATACCCCGAAGGTCATCATGCTGCCCCCAGACAAGGAGACGATGGAAGGGCTGGAGCAGCTCTGCTCTGGAGCCAGGCTGGGAGAGCTGGGCTGTTCAGCCTGGAGAAGAGAAGGCTCCAGGGAGACCTTAGAGCACCTTCCAGGGCCTGAAGGGGCTCCAGGAAAGCTGGGGAGGGACTTGGGACAAGGGCAGGGAGGGATAGGACAAGGGGGAAGGGTTTCCAGCTGGAAGATGGGTGGGGACACCAAGGGCTCAGCCCCCTGCCAGTCTGCCAAGAGATGCCCAAAGCTGCCAGGGGTGACTCACTGTCTGGGCTGAGGAACAGAAAGGCGCGTTGGCGCGGATCCTCCTCCTCCTCATCCATCTTCATGTACTTATAAAACCCAAACCTGGGAGAGGGAGAGGACAAGTGAGGTCCTCAAGGTGAGGGTGGGGTGCACAGGTGAAGGGATGTGCTCTCACACATGTGAGGAACATCCCCAGCTGCAGGGCAGGCACAGCCCGGCTCTCCAGGGAGCTGGGATTCCCAAAACCCAGGAGCACTGCCAGGGCTCAGGCTGCTACGTGCCCCAGAGATGGGGAAGGAGCCAGGAGGTATCCCCTCCTGGGGACACAGCAGAGGCTGCATCATCACAGCACCATTTCTCCAGCTCTTTGAGCACCCTGTCAACATGAGCCCTGTCCTTCCCCCCCAGATACCAGCCCCCCAAAACTTACTTCTCCAGGTAGAGGGGGGACTCCCTGTAGAAGCACTTGTTCTCTGTCTCCATGTGAGTGAGGCGTGTGAAGTCGTTGGGGTACACGAAAGAGAGGTAGACCTGGGGAGATGGCCACGCTGCCCTCACCCCGGCTCAGCACGGGCTCACAGGGGGACGTGGGGCCAGCAGGGACAAGAGCCAGGGACCCCCAGGCCACCAGCATGGCCCCCCCAACAGCAAGGTGACCCCCAGCATCTCACACCCCCACAGGGCTTTTAACCCAAAGCCCTCCAGGTCAAGATGGGGAAGCTGAGGCCTGACCCTCCAGCGAGGGATATTTTTCTGCTGAATTTTAACCGGGGGGACACACCTCTGCCCCAGGGCAGGGGCAAAGTGCTCTGCCCCGTCCCCACTGCAGGGAGACACTTACAAACTGCAGGCCCTGGTAGCGGGCGATGGGGAAGTCCTTCACCACGTAGGTGGGGCTGTAGGCACAGGGCACCAGCACGTTCTCCACTCGTGAGGCCTCGATGGCAGGGGCTGAGGAGGAGGAGGAGCAGCTGTGGCTCAGCCCTGAGCCGTGCCCCACCACCCCTGTAGCTCAACTCACCCGACAGTCTGTAGCCCAAACCATCCCCACTTGCCCCCCTACGGACCCCAACAGACGTGCCTCCCCCCAGGAGATGGGCAGGAGGGAGGTTCTGGGTGGCTGTGGCAGCCAGGTCCTACCCTCTTTCTCCCCCAGAACCCCATGGAGATGTGCGAGGGTCTGGTCCCAGCCACTTACTGAGGAAGAAGGTGTCCCTGGGGTCAGACTTCAGCATGTCAGCCCCATGCTCATCTCGCTGAGCCTCCCAGAGGTAGCTCCCTCTGTGGCTGGCCAAGGTCTGTGGGATGTGCTCCACGTGGTTCATCTTCAGGGAGGATTCGTCTGGAGAAGGCAGGGACAGGGGCTGGACCCCACCAGCACTCATGGATGGAACACCGTCCCAGGAGCATCCTCCAGGGTGGCAATTTCCAACCTCCCCACCCCTCCCACCCTCCGGGCTCAGGGGATTGTGGGTTCCTCCTGCTCCCAGGGGGACAAGGGAAGCTGCTGTGTTTGCAGGAGGGCAAACCCACAACGGCAAGCCCTCCAGACCCTGTGGCTCATCAGCCTAATTATTAGTGCCATCAACTAATGAGCACCGAGGGGATGAGGGTACAACTGATCCCAGCTGGGCAGCCCTGGCTCTGGTTACAGCAGCTCTCACCAAAGAGAAGGGGTGGGAACACTCTGGGACTTTAACTCCCAAGGACATGGGAATTCAACCAGAATGTTCTACCCCGTGGGGGTGCAGGTCAATGCAACATGAGCTGGTTGTGCCTCCTGCTCATGGATGAGGGTGGCATGTTGTCCTTGGCCATCAACCAGCCCCCAGAACCTCCCTGAGGGAGGTCACCTTGCTCCGGTCACCTTGGCCTCTGGAGCTGCCTGCCCCGAGCCCTTCCCAGGCAGCTCTGCCTGCTGTGGGGCTGCACGGAAGCAGGTAGGTCCTGGAGGGCAGAGGATCCCCTTTCCCAAGCCCCAAATCTTCCCACTTGCCACAGGGAAGGGCTCCCCACAGGCCCCAGTGGAGGGAGGGGAGGAGGACACTGCGGGTGCCCCCCCGCCATGGGGATGGGCTCCCACCAGGGATGTGGCTTCGCCCTGGGAGGCTCCTGGGCTCTGGAGGAGCTGGGAAGTGGGAAAGGGAGGAGGGAAGAGCCAGCCCTGATGGACAGTAGTGGGGAGAAGTGAATCTGCACATCTCACATGTCAATACCAGCCATACCCCTCCAGCCCTGCTCTCCCCATCCATCCCTGCCTGTCCCCTCCTGCTCCATCGACCCCTTCCAGGGCATGTTTGATGACCAGCCCTGCAGCCCCCTGAATACCAGGGCAGCCCCCATCTATCAGCTCCTTTCCTGCTGCCAGGGAAAGGGGCAGGAAGCAGAAGATCTATAGATTTAATTAAAGCTTGAGCCATCCATCCCTGCTCACATGACAGCTCCTCGTAACTCAGGGCCAGGAGCCAGTTCCCCTGCTCCCCTGCAGGGATGGGGCTGGGGCACCAGCAGAGCTGCCTTTCCATGGGGAGTCACCTCCACATCCCATTTTTAGCAAAGTCACAGCACGCTTCCAGCATCACCCCTGCCCACAGCAGCCCTTTGCCTCCTTCCTGACACCCAGCAGAAGCTCTGGTAGGTTTGAGAGGCTGAGATCTGGTTTCCCAGGAGCTGGTTTCTACCCTGGGCTCTGGTGCCACCTCTCCCCCCCTGCACCAAGAGGTGCAGCCCCCTCTGGCGCTGGGCACGGCCTTACCTGTGTACAGGGAGATGTAGGAAGAGTCAATTACTTCGAACTTCAAGCTGGGGAGAAAAACGCGCCACTAGGAACAAATGAAAAGGAGATGGGAAGTGAGGGGGGGGCAGCAGAGGGTCAGGATGCAGCTGCTGCCTCCCGGGATGGGTCATTCCCTGTCCTCCGTGAGCATCGGAGGGTGGGCACTGCCTTAGGGGGTCTCCATGAACAGCAAAGGGGTTTTGTGTTGCCTTAAGAGGGTCTTCAGAGCTGCCTGCACCGATTTAACTCCCGCACTTGAAAAGCTCGTCCTGAGCCTTTGTCCTGACAGGCCCCTCACGCCCCCGGGGAGAGATGCATTAGGGTCCTGCTTTGCTGTTGTTGTTGTTGTTTCTTTCTAAACATCTGAAAGGCTTCCCTCCCTCCAGCAAAAACACCTCTCCCCCCTCTGTTTGTTTTTCACAGCAGGGAGGCAGATCTTATCTGGATGGGGAGAGGGAGCGGGGAGGGGAGGGGGTGTCAGGCTCCTGGCAGAGCTGGGCTCGGCTGATTAATGGCTGCTGGGAGAAAGGAAACCTTTGCTAACGAGCCAACATCTTCCCCTCCCAGCAGCAGCCCCAGCTCCCCACACACACGCTCCAGGCTTCGCCAGGGCCGTGCAGCCAAGGCAGGCAAGTTCAGATTTGAAACTCCTGGGATCTCAAAGAGCAGAGGGGGAAGAAAAAAAAGGGACCCACCAGCTTGGCCACCCCTCCCACCCCAGAGCCCAGGACAGGAGCCAGCGTGGTGGGCTCTGAGCAGCCACGGTCTGGGCTCTCCTCACCCCTGGCCACCAGCTCCTCTGAGAAGAAGCCCTCGGGGAGCTTCCCCCCTGCCAGTCCCTCCTGCAGAAAGCCAAGGAGAAGAAGGGATGGGACTGTTGGCATCCATGGCAGGAGCACAGCAGCAGGGCAGGAGCACAGGAGACTTCAGCTCCCAAAAGGTCATAGGCAGGAGAGGGTGGGATGAGGACAGAGAAACGCAGCCCATGCCAGGCATCCCTGGAGCAGCCCAGGGAGAGGGGGAGCCAAGCCCCAGCTCCCTCAGAGCGACAGTGACCTGTCCCTTCTGCAGACAGAGTCACCAGCAGCCACAGGAGGGGAAGCTGGTTCTGCTGCAGGGTTAGGTCTTTTAACACACACCAGGAAGAGCCCTGACACCAGCTCTGGGCAGGACAAGCCTGGGAAGGAGCACATGGGAGCCTTTACTCACACCAACTTCCACGTGGTCTGAACCTCTGTCGTCTTGTTTGTGGAGCAGCTCGAAGTAGTAGCGCCTGGAGGACATGAGGCTACACGGGAGGGGGAGAAGCTGGTGAGGGAACCAGCACCAAGCTGAGTGCTCCCACCTCCTGCGAGATGGCTGCTCCTCTGCTAGAGAGGCCATCTCAGGAAACCCTCTGTCTTGCTCCCGTGTGGCTAAACCTTCCTGGGGCAAGGAGACAGCAGCACAATGTGGTATCTGCTCCCCCATCCCAGTGGCAAGAAGCTCCAGGAGATCAGGGGATCCCCCATCCCCACCTCACCACCTGCAGAGGTGGCTGCAGCCCCCAGCACTTTCAAGCCATGGGTCTGGGGGAAGGGTTGGTGAAGCTCGGGTGCAGCCCAGACCCCACGTGTCCCTCAGGGAGACACCATGGCTGGGGTGTCCTCTCAGAGAGGAGGAACCGCTCGGAGTCAGTGCAAAGATCCAGCTCCATCCAGCCAGGATGGGCAGCAGGAGCCAGGACACACTCACCGTAGAGGCTTGGAGACCTGTGAGCTGAACTTGGTGAACTCTCCTGGCGCCGTCCACTCAGTGCCCAGCTGGGAGGAGGGAGAAGGAGCCTGTGAGAGCCCCGGGGACACCACAGGCCAAGGGGGCACGAGCCCCAAATCCCACCAGGCCATGAGCATCTTCTCCACCTTCCTCAGGCTCCAGGCCATGTTGCAGAAAGGTGGGAGGACATCCCAGCAACTCTGTCCCAGGGCCTGCACTGGTGGCACTCAGAACTTGTCACCAGCAAACACTAAGGTCCCAAAGACACATGGGTATGAGGATGGGCCACGGGGTTTCCAGTTACAGGAGTTAATGCCAAGAAAATCCAGGAGTAAATATTAAATCCCCTGCTCTGGGACTTCAGCTGGTCTTTGTTTGCTACAAGGGGACCAAGGGGCAGATGGTCCTTCAGAAGCCCAAGCAGGCCTGGACGGGGGCAGAGATGGGACCAGGCTGAAAGCCCCTGGCATTTCCCAAGGGGGCCAAGAAGCCAGGGAGCTGCCCCTGGCCCAGCCCTGCACGGACCCTCCCCCTGGGGTGGGAGAGCCCCCGGGGGCTGCACCATCCTTAGCAGAGCACTGAGGCTGCCTGGAGGGCTCTGGGGGTGGCCACCAGCCCCTGGGGGCACCCCGAGGGGGCAGAGGCTGCGGGGGGAGCAGGAGGGGCCTCACCTTGCCCACGGAGGCCGCCAGGCGGGAGTTGGAGGGGCTGTCGTCGGAGCTGAGCCAGAACTCGGAGTTGTCGTCCGATGCCACCGAGAACTGGAAATCCCCTGGGGAGGGCAGAGAAGAAGGTGGTGGCAGAGGGACCCCGTGGTGCTGGTGGCATGGGCTGAGCTCCCATGCCTTGCTGGGAGGGGTGGGTGGATGGATGGAGGTGGTGGGGTGACCCCAGACCCCATGTCGTGGCTCTGTCCTGATGGGATGGGGGCTTCACCTCTTTCTGAAGCAGCCAGGGAAAAGGGTCTTTTCTCCAGAAAGACCCCCCTGCCTAGGAGCCAGGGCTCTAGGGACGGTCCCCAAGAGCCTTTCTGTCCTCATGTGGCCCAGGGGGGAAGGAGGCCACTTCTCCATGTTGCTGCAGGAGGAGAAGAGGCCAAGCTCCACCACTCACCATCTTTGAAGGGGTGGATGTAGCCAAAAATCCTGAGCCCATAGTTCTTCCACCTGGGGGACACAGCCAACTTCTTCACCGTGGTGCGGGTCTGTGGAGGAGAGACCAGGCTGAAGCCACCAACATGCCCAGCCTGATGCCTTGCAGCAGCTTCACCAACCACTGCCATCCCAGGGTCCTGTGCCCCTAGCACCAGAGCGGGCAGGGAGGTCCCATCACCACCCTCCTCTCCCTCCACCCTTGCTCTGCTGGGAATTACCTGCCCTGAAACAAACCTAGAAACCTTTAAGAGAAGGTCTTGAAGACCAGGCCCGTGGGCAGTGGAGATCCAGCAGCACCCAGAGAGGGACAAGCCAACCCACCACCACCAGACCTGGGACTCACGGGGGGAAAGAGTGGAAAATGGAGGTTCTTCCTCAGGTGCCTCACAGCTCCTCCACACCAGTCTTCAAAGACATGCAGGTTGGCCTTCCCTTTGTACTGGGGACAAGAGAGGGAGGTGAGCAGGATGTCCTCCTCACGTACCCCACCAGGACAGCATTAGGACAGGCTGAGACACGGATGTCAAGCCCTAGGGATGTCACCTGCCTGACCCTGGGTCTTCTGCAGTGACAGTGAGGAAGGGCTGAGCTCCTACCCTTGCACCAGCCCAGGATGCCAACCCCCAGGAGATAAACCTCCTGCTGCTGCTCCTTTGGCTCCCAAGCACACGTGAGCAAGGGATGTTGTCTGGACCAGTCCAGAGAAGACAATCAGGAAGATGTCCCCTTGCACACCTGCACAGACCGAGTTGGGGCTGCTGCAAGGAGCTCATCCTTATGGGCACCATGTTGACCCCAGGACCAGGCAGAGCCTCTAAGAAGGGTGATAGAGAGCAGGAGGGAGGACAGCTGGACATGGCTCTGGCACCTGGCTCACTGCAGGGACATGTGGGCTCCCCTGCGAGAGGCTGGGTGTCCTCCAGGGACCTTTTCCTCCACCAACACCCCCTTTGCTGCTCCCTGCCCACCTACCTGCTCATTCCAGGGCAAAGCCTGCCTGGTCAGGTTGAGTTTGGGGTGGGTGGTTGCTCGGTTGGGCTGTTGGCTTCTGGAAAACCAGCTGTCCAAGTCCTGCCCGTCAGTCTGCAGAGGAAGGAGGGGAGATGGGAGGTGGGGGAGTTCTCTCTAGATCTACACGTCTCCTTTGGGATGCCAAGCCTTTCCAGACTGAGGTGAAAGCTTTCCAAGGGCAAAGGAACAAGGGGCAGGAGAAGGCAGAGAAATATTGGCAAGGTGTCCCAGGGAGCAGCTTCAAAATGTTCCAACTAAACTCATTCCCCTTCCTCTGCCAAGGAAGGAAACTTCTCCAAAACAGTGAGTTTTCTGTTCGGCCAAAATATTTGCCCTGATGGGCCACTGGAAACAGAGCATTTTGGGCTCCATCTCCAAAAGAGCAAAGACATCTCTACACCCACCCGTGGGCAGAGGGGGCAGGATGCTTCTCCACCCCCCCCCTCCTGTCACAGGGATTAGCTTAATCTGATTGTTTGTGTCTTGTAATCCAGAGGGATCAGGGCAGCACCCCCCTGCCCCCAGCCTGCCATAAAGGTGATGGCTGGTAAGGAAGTGCTAGGCCCCTTGGAGCCCACCCTGCCCATCATCCTCCCCACTCCAACAGAGGGGACAAGGCACAAGGTGAACACTGGAATCACAGAATGTCGGGTTGGAGCGACCTCAAGGATCATCTGGTCCAACCTTTTAGGTGGGAATGTGGCTTAGATGCAATGGCCCAGCACCCTGTCCAGCTGAGTCTTAGAAGTGTCCAGGGTTGAGGAACCCACCCCTTCCCTGGGGAAATTGTTGCAGTGTCCAACTACTCTCTCAGGGAGTAATTTTTTTTTCTGGTGTCTGATCAGATTGTCCTCAGGATCAGCTTGCACCCATCACCCCTCACCTTTTCCACGTGACTCCTCGTGAAAAGGGAGTCTCCACCTTCTTGGGAGCCACCCAGAAGTTTCAATGGGTTACTTTTGGGGTTGTTTGCTTTTTTGTTTTCCCCAGCACCCCAAGAAGAGCCAGTGGGGTTTTTCGTGCACCCTGAGGGCTGTTGAGCAGAACCAGAGAGGTGCCCTCTCCATCCTTGGGTCTACTCATCCAGACAAGGCCTGGAGCACCCTGCTCTCGTTGGCCATGGGTGGGAACGTGGCCCAGCCCCCTCCCCAGCCCCCTCCCCAGCTCTGCCGTTACCGTCGGCTCCTCCTCGCTGGACTCCTGGGCTTTGCTCCTCCTCGCTGCTGCCACCGCCCTCCGGCCACCATCCGCCACCTCCCCCGGCCTCTCGCCATCTGGGGGGAGCAGAGCAGTGACCCCCAAGCCCCCCGTCCCACCTGCTGCCCCCCCGGGGACACCCCGGCACGGGGAGGGACA